TATAGGTTTTTTTTTTTTTTTTTTTTAATTATGTTTATGTGGGTATGTTTACATGAGTGCCAGAGGTGTCTTAGATCTCCCTGGAGCTGGAATTCTAGGTGGCTGTGAGCTGCCTAGTGTGGGTGTGGGGAACTGAATGAACCCGGGTTCTCTGCAAGAGACAGTCGGTGCACTCTCTTAGCGACTCTGCCATCTCTCCAGCTTCTTTGTTTTTATTTGGGATATTCTCACAGGATAACAGTACTGTTAATAAATAGTCACCTGACATTGAGCTCCTGCCCCTAACAGGCTCTATCTCTTAACTTCAATTCCCATAATACCCTGCAAGAAGGCATGATGGGAACGCAAAGCCGAGAGCAGTCAAATGCTGTAGCTTGGGTAAATTAAATGAAATGCTAGAGTTTTTTCATTGTGTGAGAAGGAGTATTTGTAATGCTTAGGAAGAGTAGAGAAGCTGAATGTTATCCTGTAATGGTCTCTCCCATTGTCCTGATGCAGCCCTGCATGCCTTACTCAAGGTTCCAAACTAACAAGGGAGTGTGGTTGAATTTTTATTTTAAACGTGGCTTCTTGCTAAAAAGGCTAAAGCCCATGACCTTCCCATGGCCTGCTCTGCCTCCTTGTGGCTGTTTGAGGAGAGCACGGGGAATGTGTGCCTGGATGTGTACCTTAAGGAGGTGCTGTGGAAACCACCCAGAAGAGAAAGGGACCAGAATTGAACACACTGGTGGCTGTTCTCACCAAAAGTCCACCGTACAAATCCAGCAGACTCGACATGCTACCTGCCATTTGAAGATACTGCTCAACAGCGCAAAACCAGTTGTAATTTGATGGTACATGACCCTGTAAACTGTCAGATAGAGAGGCCCTGGCTATTACTGTCTTTAAATCTAAAGAGATGTTAGTATATTAAGCTAGTGCTCATATTACACAGAACAAAAAGGAAACATAATAACTTGTGTCCAGTCTGGCTGCAAATAAAAAGTTCAGAACAGCGTGTAGAGATTATGCACACTACACTAAACCTGTGGTACTTAAACATATGGACTGTTTATCCTTCTGTGTTCACTAGGCTCTTTCATGTAGTGGAGGCCAAGGTTCTTTCACAAAGAACATGGCAGGGAGGCTTATATGATGCGCAAAGCTTAGAGAGAAAGGTAACTTGTTAGACTGAGGATGGTGTTCAGTAGTTGAGCATTGCCTACTACTTGCAAGAAAAGACAAGCAGGGAAAGAGTGGGGAAGTCGTGTTTTGGTTGGCTCAGGTTGCCATAACAGAATGCTCCAAACCAAATAGCTTAAACAGCAGGGATTGATTTCCTCACAGTCCTGGAGGCCAGGAGTCTGGAGCCGTGCTTGGTTCCTAGCATGCACTCTGACTCTGCCGTGATCCTATGTAACTCCCGTGTATGTATGTGCAGTGTTCATTCTGCTCCACAGCCCTGGTCACAGTTGACATCTAATAGAAGCACAGGTGGTCCTGTTCTCACCAGTTTATCAGCTCTTTAGGGACATCAGGGGAGACTTAAGAGCAGGCTCTGTGTCTGCCACTTGCTAGCTATGTGACCTTGAGCCGGTGACTTATCACCTAGCTCTCAAAGTCCTCATTTATAAAATCGGAATAATGGCACCAACTAAATTAGTTACAGCGTTCAAAAGCAGTGATAGAAGTAGACACAACACTGTGGCTGATGTGTGGTAGTGTTCCTTGAAAACTGTTTCTCAGTGCTTGGGGACCAGTAACCAGTGTATTCAGCAGTGTTTTGAACATGCTGAATGATGTAGCTAGAAAGGTTCTAATTTCCCAGTCTGTCCAAAACATGATTTTTTGAAATTTACATAAATAAAAGAAGCCATTTGAATACAAGTCCAAGATGAATAACTCCAGGCCCACAGATCAAATGAGAGCATGGCAGCATGGTGGACAGAGAACAGGAATCCAAGACAATAGCAAATGATAGACTCCTCTAGCCAGATATCACCTTAGAAGACCCCACAGCTTTCCAGGTAGCTCCACAAGCTGCAGACAAAGCATGAAAACAAAAGTCTGGGGGCTGGAGAGGTGGCTCAGAGGTCAAGAGCACTGGCTGCTCTTCCAGAATTCCCTGGGTTCAATTCCCAGCACCCACATAGCAGCTCACAACGTTTGTAACTCCAGTCCCAGGGGATCCAACACCCTCACACAGACAAACATGTAGACAAAACACCAATGCACATAAAATAAAAATAAGTAAATTATTTTAAACAAAGCATAAGCCTGTGGGGACATTTAAGACTCAAAGAATAACAAGACCTAAGCCAGACAAGGAGTGCTGAAAGTGGAGCTGGACGAGAGGGTATGTGTGAGAGGAAGGATGTGTGGGAACTATACGGGAAGAGCGTGGAAATAGATGAGATGTGTAGACTCAAAGGAGAAGAAAAGTTAACAGGTAAGTGAAGAAAACCTTTTTCTCCCCAAACTGATGAACCACCTGGCAACTTCCTGAGAGATCATAAATCTTCATAAAATGTAAAGAGTTATTAATGTTTAATTATACTTTTGATTGAATGATTTAAAAATAGCCTTTTAAAATACCTTAATTTGAAAAGATTACAATTTGTCCTTTTCTTTTCTCAAAGGTGGCAGAAAGGGCACTCTATTATTGGAATAATGAATACATCATGAGTTTGATAGAAGAAAACTCTAACGTCATCCTTCCCATCATGTTCTCCAGTCTTTATAGGATTTCAAAAGAGCATTGGAATCCGTAAGCGTTCAGTTTCTTTCATCCTTCCCTCCCTCTTCTGCCCCCTCTCCCTTCCTCCTCTTTTCATTAGTAAAATGTCTTGGAGCTCACTGTGCTCTGAATGCCATGCCCATTGCTAAAGCTGCACACGTGGCAAGATAAACATCCCTCCTGAAAATTTGCTGGCTAGGGGACTGAAAAGCAAGCAAATATTTTCACAAAGTAGTGCTATTTGGTTAAAACACCTGTTTACTTGGGAGGCTTTCTGGCCTGCCTGAAGGTTGCCAGATGTATTTGGGGAATGTTCTGGAGCCCCAAAGATGTGCACTGGCTGGCAGGGCTCAAATTAAACCTGGCAATTTTTTCAAGGCAGGATCTTACTGTACAGATCGTGCTGACCTCAAATTTATGATCCTCCTGCCTTAGCCTCCTGAGTGCTGGGGTATGTCTGTGCTTGACTTCAGCTAGAATCCTAATAGAGTTTGGTAGGTGGGGATGATTGGGCAAGCCTCTTCAGATAGGGATCCCTGTACTGGCTAAATAGGCACACATGTGTTAAAGTGCCTGTCAAGTTCCGAGGCCTGTGGGTTCTAGAGGACAAAAGCATGAGGCCTTTGGGTGAACAGCACTAGAGATGAGGTGAGAAAAGGGAGCGAGGCCTGCATGAGCCTTCTCCAAGGGCACTATTGGGAAAAACTGAGGGGCTGTGAGGAGCTGGTCTGAAGGGATCTACATTTTACAGGAATATCTATTTCCTAACATCTAGCTCAGTTGTTAGATTTGGAGGGGGACAAAAGTTACAGTCAAGGACAGGTTTAATTTAGCCCTAGAAGAGCTAAAGTATTCTATAGTGAGATGCCTTTACATATCTATCTATGAAGTAAAGTTATGTGGCATTGAAGAATTAAGTGCAATTCAGTTTATCATATCTGTCTTAAATTTTTGCATAGAGTTGGAAAATAACATTTTCTTTCAATTTTTTAACTTGTTCTACATTAATAGAACTTTTAAAAAGAGTCATTAAGCCCTGTTGTACAGACACTCTCCCGAGGGCTGGAGAACAGCTGTAGGCAGCGTTAGTTACTGCCCAGTGTCCAGTGCTTCTCCAGGGCTATGCTTGGGAAGAAGACCATTCTTGAGCCTTAGCTAAGTTTCTCTTCTTCTGGGCACCAGCAGAAGCCACAGCAGACACCAGACCTCCCACTAATGTGTGACTTCATCTTTTTAGAGATGCCTTCTTAGTAAGGTCAGGGCGTTTGTTGCAAAATGGAAGCAACCTTGTATAGCTTTGAAGTGGGAGACACCATTTTTTGCCTTGTCTGAAGCTTTCAAGTCTGTCATAGCATAGTCCTCACATTGTCTGTGTCAGTAGTGTATTCTGCTTGATAAGACTAGTCCGGCAACTTGGTTCCTTAGCTGTGTAGTGCTCCATAGCTAAGAGCATCCAGCACCAGCCTGACAGTTTTCAGCATGAGTATTGGGTCAACAGAAGGATTAAGCAGGAACAAACATACTAATATAGCCACACTGGGACAGCAGTTTGTAGGGGCTTGGTGGCCTGTCTTTGAACACATGTGGTTTATATACTCATTTTCCTGGAACAGTTTCTGATGTTAAACTATGTATGTTATTATTTTGAAAGTAATTTTTTAATAATCACTTGTACTTGTTCATAGGGTGTACATACTCTGTCTTTGCTGTTTCTTTAAGATAATCTCCATATGTAGCCCACAGTAGCCTTGAACCCTCAATGCTCTATTCCTCCGGGTGCTACAATTATCGGTGTACACCATCAACATGTGTGCATGCGTGCTTCAGTGCGCACCTGCCTAAGCTATCTACCTAACCTGAAGCAGCTGTATTTTCATACTTGGATTTTGTTATGCATTGGCCATAAAAACATGTCTGCTCTGGATACCAAAAATTTAGAAGAAGGGCAAATTTGGGTTTTAATTCTGCCATCCTACAGGAAGATTGTGAACAGTAAAGAATTCAAATCTCGACGGGCGGTGGTGGCGCACGTTTTTAATCCCAGCACTTGGGAGGCAGAGGCAGGCAGATCTCTGTGAGTTCGAGACCAGCCTGGTCTACAAGAGCTAGTTCCAGGACAGCCTCCAAAGCCACAGAGAAACCCTGTTTCCAGAAACAAAACAAAACAGCAAATCTCTTGATGTAAAAATAGAACTGTAGGTCCAACTAAAAGGGAATAGGAAATCAGGTGTGGTGACAATATGCCATAGTCTCAGCAGGAGTATGAGGAGTTCAATGTCGTCCTCAGGTACATACTGAGGTTTAGGCTACATAAATGTGGGAAAGGAATGTGTAGGGAGCAGTGAGGGTAATAAGGTTGTCAGAGAGGGTAGGCGTGTTACAATGATCAGAGTGCACTTTCTAAGTGAATGAACTTGTCAAAGAAAAAAATTTCAGTGAAATTTTTATGAATGTATATTAGAGGAGGAGCTAACCCATGCCAGAGATGGCCTTCTGCTTTTCTGTTCAGCACCCCACTGTGAAAGACTAACCAGTACGTTCCATTGTCTGCCTCACAGGGCTATTGTGGCGCTGGTGTACAACGTGTTGAAGGCCTTTATGGAAATGAACAGCACTATGTTTGATGAGCTGACAGCCACATACAAGTCAGATCGTCAGCGGTAACTCTTTAAAGCTCTTTTGTCTGCTGTGCATAAAGCTATTGAGTCCTTTCTGACCTCTTTGCTCAAGTTGCCTAGTTGCACATCAGATCATAAACAGCGGTTTATTTACTTACATATTCTGCTTCTGCATGCTCATTAGCTGTGTCCTCATTAATGCACTGCCAAGTAAGCGGTTCTGTAGTGGTGTGATTCTGATGAAGCCTGCTGCTTTTCTCCTTCCTTTCTGTTCTGTCACAGGGTTCAGAGCCTGGCACATAGTGGGTCTTTCAGGCCCACTTCAGGGAATCATTAAGTGGTTGGTCCTCTAGGCTGACTCCTGTTGCTACCCCAGGCAAACTAAAATTGGCCTGGCATACTTTACTTCAGCTCAGGAGAGACCAAGCACTATTTGTCCAGAGCTTACTTTCTAGTCTAGAAGAATACAAGCTTTAGTGATATAGTATTAGAAAATACTGAAGTGCTTAAGACTAGAATGGTGCAGTCTTTCCTCATTTTATTTGCATGATTCTCCCATTTTATGTTTATTACATAATAATGATTATTATTATTGTCAATATTAATTTTGAGCAGGGTTTCTCTGTGTATCCCTGGTGATCTCAGAACTCAATCTGTAGAACAGGCTGGCCTCAAACAGAGATCTGCCTGCCTCTGCCTCCCAAGTCTGGGATTAAAGGTGTGAACCACCATGCCTGGCCCAAGTTGTATTTTTAATCCAGTGTGTTCAAGTTTCTAAAAAGTGTTTCCTTAGTTAGGGTTTCTGTTGCTGTGACCATGGCAACTCTTATAAGGGAAAACATCTCACTTACGTTTCAGAGGTGTAGTCCATTATCATCATGGCAGGAGGCATGGCAGTATGCAGGCAGACATGGTTCTGGAGAGGTAGCTGAGAGTTCTACATCTGGATCCCCAGGCAGCAGTCAAAGAGAGAGGGGGGGGGAGGGGGGCTGGTTTGAACATTTGAAACCTCACAGTTTCACTCACAGTGGCACACTTCTTCCAACAAGGTGACACCTCTTAGTAGTGTCATTCCCTGGTGACCAAACATTCACATCTATGAGTCTATGGGAGCCATTCCTATTCAAACCCCACAGGAGAGATTAAGGAAAACAGAGCTCTTAGTGGTTGGTTCTCTGGCTTGACTCTGATCTCCAGGATGCAAACGCCTACTTTGTAAGTGAAAGCATGGATCTTAAAAGAGTCCCACAGTGAGTGAGTGAGTGAGTGTGTGTGTGTGTGTGTGTGTGTGTGTGTGTGTGTGTGAATGTTTATACCTTGGACTTTGCTGAACCTCATGGAAGAATGTTTTCTGTTTGTTCGTTTGTTTTTGCTTCTTTGCTTTGCCTTATTTAGAATGTGTTAGTTGTGTTTTATTGAGGAAAAGGGCAATGAGAATGAAGGTTTGGGGACAGAGGACCAAAGACTATGGCAGAAATTGCTTTTAAGTTACAGAGATGTGGTTTATGGGAAACAGTTTAATCATAGAATATGGTTTTAATTACAATATTATTTTTAATTGCAACATTGAGATAAATGCCAATTTTGTATTACACTTAAAACCTAAATAACTGTTAATTCATGGTACTATCAATTGTTAAAAATCACTAAATTTATAATGACCCGCTTTGCCCTACTGTTAAGTTGAAATCTTTGAAAACTTATTTTTTTAAAAGGGCTAAGGGGTAAGGAGTACCGGAAAGATGGCTTAGCTGTTAAGAGGATTTGCTGTTCTTCCAGAGGACCCAGGTTCAAGTCCAGCACCCACAACAGCTCTCAAAAGTTGTTTGAGAGCAATTTCAAAGGATTTGACATGTTCTCTAGGCCTCCTTGAGGATCAGGCATTCATATGATGCACCAACATACTTGCAGGCAAAAAATACCCATACATGTTTAAAAAAAAAAAAAAAGTGGTGGTGGCTAAGGCCACATTAGAGCACCATGGTGAACCATTTAACACTGCACAGTGCATAGCACTTGTCTGTTAGGACAACAGAGATCCCTATAATCTTTATTGTTGTTCTAGTTAAATGTGGATGAAATCTGGGTACAATCTAATTAAGAATATTGAAGGAACTTCAGTGTAACTAAGTGGTAGGGTGTGCTTGGCTATCATATACAGGGCCCTGTACTCAATTCTCAGTACCACTGTGTGTATGTAGTGTGCGTAGTGCACACACGGGGGTCTTATTTCAGATTAGTTGATTCATCTTAAATGAATTTCCACAATGAAGTTATTTTGTGATCTTTTATTATCTGTGGAAATAGAATTAACTAAGGGGACTGAAGTTGAGCTAGTATGCTAGAATGTTACAGTGGTTAATAGTGAATGGACTTCCTTAATGGAAGTTGTTTTTGTTATTTTGTCTATTTTTATTTTTTTTAAAAACAAGGATGATACTTTGCCAAATGTGCTAAATTAAAAGGTTGTACTGAGCAGGTCAAGTATTGGCTTCTTCACAAAAGTAATAGTAACTGTTAATTAGTAATTGAACATGGCTGTTTGGGACTATGATGAAGGAGCCAAATATGAGGTTTTACTTGTTGATGACAGGAAGTTGATGATTTCAGTACACAGCAGATTTTTTAAGCATTACAAATCAGAATGGTGGGTGGAGTGAGCTTTTAACACTGTTACATATGGGTGCTAACACTAGTGCTATGTGAAATGAAATGGGAGGAGAAATTGACAAGATTCCCAGCATCACAGTGTGCTGAAGTCTTAAAATTCCCCAGGACAGAGAGAAAAACTGGGGAAATAAGGGTGGTACTGAATGCATCAGAGATATTTAGACTTTAAAGAGCCAGATGTGGTGTTGCACATCTGTAATCCCAGCACTTGGGAGGTGAAAGCAGGAGACAGAGTACAGGCCTTGGCTGCAGCTGACAACAAAAAAGAGAAAAGAGCTAGATTTTTTTCCAGTATAAATTGCATTTATATGAAAGGCTGTAAAGGAAAATCCATAAAAACAGCAGACCAGTGGGTGCCAGGGGCTGGAGGAAGAAGTGGGCAGCATGATGTTTTCCTTGCGGATGATGAGACTGCCCTAAGCTGAGACTGTAAGTTTTAAAAATAAAGTTGTCAGTGTGGAAGCAGTGTGGTAAGTCAGCTTGCATCATCTGGAGAAGGAAAGGACACACAGGACAGATCACATTGCATACTGTAGAGCTCGTGAACTGAGTGAGCAGCTTCAATAGGAAGATGATGATGTCATGATGCCAGCTGCAGTTTAGGGCAGTGTGAACTGCTATAGGATGAACTGATTTCCAGTTGATAAAAGTTCCCAAACCCTTGCTTTCGTCTCTGTGTCTGCCAAACAAAGAAGTCAGAGGCATTACAACTCTGCATGGGCTCTAGAGTTGATGTCTGTGTACATAATCAGCGTTCTCTGAGAACATTTGTTTAGACTGATACCATCTCTAGGTTGTACTGCCAAACAAAAAGTGGTAATTGCCTAGCAGCTTGCTTACAACCAAGAGTCTGGAAGCCAGCAACTCCCTTTCCAGAACCATACCCACGCTAGGGTGTGGCCCTCTTCAGCCTCTTATCTCCGTTTTACTCTTTATTAAAATATTAATTCAGCCTTTTGCCTTTTGGGAGGAAGTATAGGGTCTCACCCTGTAGTTTAGGCTAGCCTTGAACTGCAAGTGATCTTCCTGCCTCAGCAGTATGAGTGTGGGATCACATGCTAAAAACTTCACTTTTTATGTGTATGAATGTTTTGTCTGCATGTATGTATGTGCTATACATGTGAATCTGGTGCCTGCAGAGTCCAGAAGAGGATTTTGGAGCCCCTGGAACTGGAGTTAACAGACATTTGTGAGCTACCATGTGGGTGCTGGCAACTGAGCCTGGTCCTTTGGAAGAGCAGCCTTTGGTTAATAGCTGCAGAGCCAACTCTCCAGTGATCACATTTTTCTGAATAAATTCCAACTTAATTTTTAAAGATAAAAAATAATCTATAATGATTGGAGAGTTTCTAATATTGCCCCTTGTAACCTTTAATGCAGTTGTTCTGGTTAAAGTTATCACATAAGTTTGAAGGCTTTATGTTTGAAGACCATGATGCCTGCTGAAATCCACACTGTTTAGATTGCACTTAATCCTAGCACTCAGGAGGTAGAGGAAGGCGGATCTCTGTGAGTTCCAGACCAGCCTGGTGTACAAACACTAGTTTCAGGACAGGCTCCAAGCTACACAGGGAAACCCTGTCTCACTCCCCCCCCCCCAAAAAAAAAAAGAGAGAGCAGTCATAGTAAACAGGTTCTAAATTGCCAGAATATTAATTATGAAGTGGAGATACAGATGATTATGTTATATGATTCAACATCCCTTCAATTGCAATGGGAATGCCAAATTACTTGGGTTTCTTTTTTTTTTTTTCTTTTTGTTTTGTTTTGTTTTTTGTTTTGTTCTTTAGTTCAAGGGGAATGAAACTTACTTTTTATTGATTTGGAGTTAAAAGGTTTATTTTTGTTTTATGTGTTTGTATGCCGTTACGTATGTGTGCCATGTGCCTACAGGAGATGGACAGAAGAGGATGTCCGATCCTCTGGAACTGGGTTGTAGATGGTTGTGAGCTGCCGTGTGGGTGCTGGAAACTGAACCTGCGTCCTCTAGAAGAGCAGCCAGTGCTCTTAACCATTGAACCATCTCTTCAGCCCCATTTTTTATTGTTAGAGGATTTAATATAGTTTTGCAAAGTATTGGCGATTACTAAATAGTGTTTAGCATTGGAATTCCATGCAAAGTTCACATTATCCTTATTAATTCCTCTGAATAATGAATATACTGTTGCTCAAATGGGATATGTAAGGACTGGTTCCTGGTGTCTGAGGGAGCAGAACTCCTGTGCTTAGGAATTATTTGAATTTGTGAAATTGTGAATTCGTAATTTTATCTAGGTCTACTTTTCATCAGTTCATTGCACTAAGCTAGAGGTAATGAAGTGAATTATGTTAGTAGATATGAATTCATGTGATGAAACATTTTTAATAAGTGTGAATATGTTTAATTTATAATATAGCTTTATGTTCCTTGATAATGTACTTGCTACTTGATTGATAATAAAGCATTTAAAAAAAACTGAAATTAAATTGTTGAACCTATTTTGGCTTATTCAATTGTGGTAAACTTTGCCAAACAATGTAGTCTGAAGTCCTGTGAATCACTGGTAAATTGGTATAAGTTTGAAGGCTGGCTCACTTAAAATTCTAATACACCACAATACCAGTATCCACAGAGTTTCATGTAGATCATTAGTATAGTCTTACATGTTATATTATAATATATACATATATACTATAAAATATACATTGATTATATGTTTTCAGAAACGACCAGTTTCAGTATGCATTGTATGGGAAAAACAGAGACAAATAAAGGGAAGAATGTATTTTCTTGATCTTGTCCATTTTCTGTCAGTGTCATTTCCAGTGACTCTTTTGAGTGTTTATTTGGAAACAAATACAAGGTTGGGGTCTAACAAGGCCCCGAGCATTTAAAAGCCACCAAGCACTTTGGTATTAAGATATGATACTGGAAGCCATCTCTAGTTTTCTCAGTAATTGTACACTGTGTTATAATTTATATTGTATCTACAGGCTAAGGGATGTTTATGTAAATCTTAAGACAGTCTTGTTTTTCTACTCTGTTCATTAGTATTATTTCTGTGTCATTGAGAATGTCAAAATAGAACCCACTGAGGGAAAACCCCAAAAGGAAATCCAAGAAGCTCGCTGCCAGTTGCATTGGAGCCGCTTGGGGCCTCTGTGAGGGAAAGGCTGTTTTTGTTGGGCAGTCTCACCAACCCTCTCAATTGTTTACATTGTTTTCTGTTTCTTCCTCCAGTGAGAAAAAGAAAGAAAAGGAGCGTGAAGAATTGTGGAAAAAATTGGAGGATCTGGAGTTAAAGAGAGGTCTTAGGCGCGATGGGATAATTCCAACTTAACAACAATCTGACCGCGACATCACTAACCCATGGGGTCACACGCTTATGTAGTAGAAGGATGGAGCAACAGTTTTCTGTATTGTGCAACTTTACAGTAGATTTCACATTTGTCTCATTATTACAACAGCACTGTATATACCTGTCTCTAAGTAAAGGAAAACATAAGGACTTCAATCCAAAGTTTGGACAGTAGATGGACTTCTCAGAACTTTGCAAACATAATCATTGTTCTAACCCTCTTAAAAACAAAACAAAACAAAACAAAACAAAAAAACAAAAAAAGAAAGGTCTTCAGAGATCTGTTGGTGAAATTGCTATGTTAAAATTCCATTATCAGGAGTTCTTTATTTATCACTAGCAGAGAGTATGATACAATTTTCAAATGTGAACAATCTTAAATTTAGCTTGTCTTTCTGCTAAGCTGTTAAATGTATTTATAGTAAAGGGAGAAAAGATTGTCATTTCTTTATAAGTTTGTATAACACCCTCCTCTGGACAACTTGACTGTAATTTGACATCCTTTCCTTTTGCACATCCTCATGAGTCGAATGTCCACGTGGAGTGGAGCAGTGAATTACAGAGGTCCCTTGTGAAATGTGTCCACTGGGTGAACATCTTCCCAGTGGCCAGGTGTTCCTGGTACTCCTTTAGTTTTCCGATTAGGAGTTAAAAAAAGAAGAGGTGATAAACATAGTAGCGAAGGGAATGTTGGGCTTCGTATCAGATATGGTGAGTCCAAATCAATGTCTTGAATCCTTTGAAAACAGGCAGCGGGATGTGTGCGCCACAGGCTTCAGCACCTCCAGCATTAGCTGCAGACATCCTTGTGCATCCAGACCAGAGACGATTTAGAAATGTCAGAGGAACATCCTTTCCGACCCTATGAAGCAAGGAAGACAGAACACTAAGCGGTATAACCATGAAGTTGAGCACCAGGACTGCGCATCCAATTGGGAACCCAGTTGAGCAAACAGCACGAACTGTTTGGAGTTGTTGCCTTACTTTCTAATGTACTTATAAAGTATTTCAGCAAAAGAGGATGCAGCCTCTGGGAGAAACAAAACATATTCCAGTGTTCTTTTGTAGATCCTCATTCTATAGCTCATCACAGCGCCAGCCCTGTTTTTAGCCAGAGAGGATTCAGGATCAACATTATGCGTTCTGACATGGATGCATATTCCTAACTACTGTATTTGTTACCAAAAGTGGTTCTACAAATGCTACTGAAAAAAAATCTGGAAATTCCTAATGTCCTGAGTATTAATAATAAAGTTTAAAAAATGCTTTTATATCAAAAGTGCATTGTGACCAAATTGTTTAAGAAAAAAAAAAAAAACCAAAACACAGAACTGGGGCTATACTCTAAATGTATCTTATTGGCTCTCTGCTCTGTATTAAAGGAAGACTCTTACTTGGGTAGGCAAATTGCTGATATACTGGTGTGCAGTATGTATTTGCCTGATGTGGTTGCATTGCTGTGTACTGACAAATGTGTGTTGTGGGGTTTGTTTCCAGGGAAGCTTTTGCTTGTTAGAGACAGACAGGTCAGCAGTGAGCCGGCAACCCCGAACCATCATGTCCAGCTGTGTTCTTGGTGTAGAGCCAGTTCTGTGTTGATATGTTGAGTTGTGATCATAGCTAATATGAACACATGATCTGTTGTTGCTCTCAGTAGAAATGCCGTATAAATATGAGCTTGTATATTTTCTTCCTTTTAAATGTAAAGTAGAATATGCAGCTTTGTTGTTTGCAAGACAAAGGAGGGGGAAAGCCATTGACCTTTCTCACTTATGAAGTGTTTTCAGATTGTCAGTCACACTGTGTACATAAAAGTAAGCTAATTATGGATATTTTCATCTAGGTACCTTTGTTTTTTGTTTTTTAAATGCCTTTGTTGATTCCCCCAAAGAAACACAGTTTTGTTGTTGTTGTTGTTGTTTTTAAGGTGTGTGACCTCCAAGTACAAGATGGTTCAGTGGAATGAATAGGGTTTTTAAGCAGCATTAAGGAGGATTCCATGTGAGGAGAGTGCTGGAGCAGAGGGGCAAGCTCACATCCTGATGCTAAGAAATAAACGCCTAGCACATCTTCCCTTTAGCTCTCTGTGTTGTAGCCATTAACTTTCGACTTTGATTACACGTATCTTTGATAGTATAAATTTTGCTTGCCGTGACCTGTGCCCCTCGGGATGAGATGTGCTCATTTGAGACGAGAGAGGTAAAGGACCTCTCTCTGCACCATGTCCTTGTCCTCTGAACTAAGGGCAAACAGCTCCAGCACCCCTTCCGTCAGTTTTGTCTGTTGATCATTCCCAACTGAGAAGAATAAAGCTAAGCTTAGACTATCTAAAGATGTAATTAGACCTGTCTATCTAAACTCACAGGGCAACTTCTGAGAAAGAAAAAAAAAAAAAAAAACAGCAACACTCATTTTCCTTTTCAACTGAAAGGGACAATGTGACACTTCTGTCACATTGTGTGTGGTGACGAGAAGCTAGCCCAGGTAACCTGATTGTTGCACTTTGTGACATACTTAAGGACATACTTGCTGCATTTGCAGCAGCCCCCTGTCTGACCCTCCCTGGGCAATCCTGCTGTCGCTCATCTTGAGTTAACTGTGACAAATTCAGCTCTGTGTTCTATTTTGTTTGCTTCATAGTTTCCAGAACTATATATAAATATATTTTTTCAATAGCAAATATTGTAGTTAGCGAGTGGTGAACACTCTAACCTTATCCCTACCATATTGGTTTCAGGGATAGGACCAAGAGTGTCCTTGGAATAAAAACAAATAAAATTTGATTTTAAATTTTGTGATTTAGAATGATGCTGAGGCTGTAGGCTGCGGGCCTGCAACAGCCGTGTGGGTGAAGTGACTGTCTCCTCTGGGTCAAGCGTACACTCCTCATTGTGCTCATGTCCCTAGTGGCCCTCCTTCATTGTTTATTTCCGTCCTTTGCAATTTCGATTATATTTTGTTCTTTCTGACATTGACTGTTTTTTTTTAATAAAATAAAAAAAAATAAAGAAATACATAATCCCCTGAATGTGACTGGATGCGCAGGAGCAGAGCAAGCTCCTCCTCCCTGGGCTCTTTGCCTAGGTGGCAGGGTCATGCGATTCTGGACCTCCTATACTGCCTGCAATAGTTCAGGGTGCAAACAGACCTAGGGAGCACTTGCAATCACACCTGCTGTGCCGAACACACAGCCCTAGGTGCAGTCACATTGTGGAAAGGGAAATAAAGTATCCTTAGAGCTTTAAAAGCTGTTTTATGTTTTTGTGGGGGATGGAGGATGGGGAGTGGGGAGGATGGGAGGCTGGCGTCAGCATTATGAAATATTCCAAAGCTTTTCTTTTTTGTGCTTTGTTTTCCCTTTTAATTGGATGCACTGACCTGGCCCAGGAAATGAAGAACATCTCTCCTTTGATGTTACTACAAATGTTACCACAAAGTGACAGTCACCTGTCACAGAAAGGTGGTGGCAGATGTGATCAGTGACGTTTTATTTGCACAGGAATATCTTTATTTTTGTATTCTGGCTCAGCTGCTTTGGAGTGGAGTTAGGGAATGAGCCATAAAGGACTTTTGTAATAAGTATATCAGCAATGCATTTTATATTCCTCCACATTTAATTTTGGGAACCTGGAAGAAGGATTGTGCATCTCTAGGTAGATGAGCAGACCTGGAGCTTAGTGGAATGTTCATTTGTGCTGCTTCTTGTGCACGATAGCGGCCATAGTATCTTCTGGAAACGAACACCCCATGTTATGATGTCTGTGAATATGGTTTCCTTTCCTCCCTGCCTCTACTTCCCTCGCTCCCCATCCTCTCCTCTATTTTCTCTTTTTCAGCCCATTCCTCCTCTTTTTTTTTTTAAATCACTACTGTAAATAAGTTGTAATCTAAACCTCATGTATCAATGGGGAACTTTCAAATATAAATATTACCAATACATCTTCTGGTTGTTGTCTGGTTTTTCATTGGAGTCTATTGAGAATGACATGGCCATTCCCTTTGGCTTGAGGATTTCACTTCAGCTCCAGCCTCTCCTGGTTATTTCTCATTTCATTGTTGTAGCAGGAGAGGGCAGCAGACGTTCATTTTCCCTGCTAGGAAGCTTCGGTTCTTGATTGGTTTTGATCTTAGCTGGGAGCAAGTGTGTTATTCTTGTTTTTTTTTGTTTTGTTTTGTTTTGTTTTGTTTCTTTTTTTTTTGTTTTTTTTTTTTGCATCTGTGTGTGCATAGATGTAAAACATGAATATGGAAAGTTACATATGAAAATTCTAAACTGGTTCAACCAGACAATGAAGACTTCTGATCCACTTAAAAGTTAAAAACACTCCAAAACACTTCCAGCCCACGTTGAACCATGCTTCTTCCTTTTCAAACAGCAGAATGCAAGTGGGGGCTTGCACACTTGGAATTAAATGTTCACCTTTGAAAACAATTTACTCTCTGAGTGGTAGCAGGCTAATCTTACAAAGGCACTCCCCAAAGCAGTGTGATCTTCCGTCTCGTGGCTGGGTGAGAGATTCTGTACTGTGGATGTCCCTGATAAGTGAGCAGTGAAGGATGAAGGAACCTGGCTACTTAACTTTTTAGTTGACCCGTGCCCTTTTGAAGTCATACCATTATGTTAGTTAACAGATTTTTGAGGTGTGTGGGGTTGCTATCAGGCTTCAGTTTTGAGAAAAGTTTATGCCTGGGGGTGTTTGACATTGGGGCATGGCCCAGTAGCTATCACTGTAACAGTGTTCTATTTATTCTGTCCTCCAGTCTGCAGCATGGGACACTGATACTCCAGTGTCGCTTGGGCTATCTTAAGGCGGGGAAGAACACACTTCAGCAGAACTGGCCAATTGTGTGCTGCCCTTGCCCTGGAGTTCAACCTGATGTCCCATTTCCTCCTCACAGGACTTCCTCATTGGCCCCCCAGATGGCAGCTGGAAGAGGAAACTGCCCATCCTTAGAGGCCTGGCTCCAGATGCTCATAGCATCCCCTTCATCATGCCCTGCTGGGCAAGCAGTCGCAGAGCCTGCTCAGAAGAGTGGGAAGTGGTTTGTAAGCCTGTTAAAGCTGCCATGGGCCCTTTCTTTGCATAGTGTTTGCATTCTGTGGGGTTTGCTCTTATAGCTAATTAGATCATGTCACATTTGGAACCATCTGGAACCAGGGTGTTTCATATTTTAGTTAGAAGTTGAAGCAAGAAATCTTACGGTTCCAGTAGGTTTGTGTTTTGAGGTGAACATTTGTAACATCTAAAAAACGAATCTCTTAGTAAGCAAAATCTTAAAAACTTTGGGGTTCGAAGAGATTTAAGAGACAATTTTAGTGTAATGTCTACTTCTTTGTATAATACTGTTTCCTCTTTCTAAATACTTGTCAGAATGGAGGCAATTCCCTCTTCCAGCTTGTATAAACAGTGTGTACTAGGGGGGTCTCAAGTGAGGATAGCAAAGGGAAGTTAAATTTTTATTTTTTTATGACTATGATATATTTTCATTAAAAAATACATCTAAAAGGGGGGGTTTTTTTTTTTTTTTTTTTTTTTTTATAGGGTCTTACTGTGTGGCACTGGCTAGCCTGAAAGTTATGTAGATAAGGCTGGTCCTGAACTCAGATTTGCCTACCTCTGCTTCCCAAATTCTGGGAACAAAGGTGAGCATCACCAACATAGCAAGGCAAAAGAAAATTTTCTCCTAAAGAATCATCTTTTTCTCCCATTTCCGATCTCAAGCTCCCATCTCCCCTAAATATGTTCTCTTCAGATCTTTTAATCTTAGCACTTCCATTTAGATCCACAGTTCACTTTGGATTATTTCTTTGTGTGTAGGTTGTTAAATGGGAATCCAGATCAATTGTTTTCCACCGTGAATTTTTAGTTACAGTATTAGGAGAGTCTGCCTTGAGAAGGTGCCGTGAAAATGTGGCTTTAAATCTTGCTTTTCCCTGGGCGTTGGTGGCGTATGCCTTTAGTCCCAGCACTTGGGAGGCAGAGGCAGGCGGATCTCTGTGAGTTTGAGGCCAGCCTGGTCTCCAGAGCAAGTGCCAGGATAGGCTCCAAAGCTACACAGAGAAACCCTGTCTCGGAAAAAACAAACAAACAAAAAAACAAAACAAAATCTTGATTCTCTCTACCCCTGTGTTTGGTACCTTGATCTTTATCCTGAAGCCAAGCAGTCATGGCTCCCAAAGCTTTATGATGCTCTCATTAATGCCTTTCAATTTTACGTTTATTTTAAAGGGTTTCAGTATGGGAGACTCTTGTATTACCATACAAAACGGAGGCATGTCATGAGGTTCCTAAAAGCAAGTGGATGTGGGTTGTGGTGGAGAGAACACGGAGTCCATAACTTAGGAAGAATCACTACTTGGATATTACCGTTTTGGAAATGTATCCTCCAGTAGCATTTGGAGGTGGTACCCTGTAGGTGACCAGGCCCTGAGGGTCTGCTGGGCATGAATGGAATGATGCTATCATAGCAGAACTGGCTTGATTATGAAAAGGCAAGTCCAGGCCTGTGCTTCTCTCTTGCCCTGTCTCCAACTCTCCTGTCATGAGCTGATGTAACAAGAAGGCCCTCCCTGAATGCTAGCACCTTCCAGCCTCCAGAACTGTGAGAAATTCCTCTGCAACTGTTAGAAGTTTATTTTCTTTATAAATTAGTGTCTGGTATACTGTGAGAGCAGCACAAACAGACTTAAGATACAGTCCAGAAACATAGAGGATGCTGTAGTCCTGGTGCCCTCCTCCTTCACGGCTGGGCTGCTCACTGTCTCCATGCTCTACTATGCAAGTTGACATCACCAGAGCAGAATCATGCAATCAGAATCGGCTCTGCTTTTTCATTTAGCATCATATTTAAATTTCTCATGTGTATGTGTGTTTTTGCCTGCAAGTGTGTCCATGTACCATATGTGTGCCTGGTATCCAAACAGGCCAGAAGGTGTTAGACCTTTCAGTGCTAGAGTTGCAGATACCGTGAGGCACCATGTAATGTAGGTACCAGGAATTGAACCCAGGTCCTCTGAAGAGCAATTAGTGCTGATAACGGCTGAGCTGTCTCTCCTGATACTAACATAATACTTTTATTAGTTTTCATGGCTAATCATTTTTTTGTGTGATATAGCATACTTGATTTTTATTAGTTGTATCCTTGGTGCTGTCATAACACTATTGTGGACATACAATTATTTGAATACCTGTTTTTGAATCTTATGGGTACATTGGTAGGGTCAGATTATTGTTTAACATAATTTATTGTGTTGTAGGGGAAGTGGGGGGGCATATGTGTGGAAGTCAAAGAACAATTTAAGCAAGTGGGTTCTTTTTTCACCATGTAGGTCCTTGGGATCGAACTCATATCATCTGGCTTGGCAGCAAGTGCCTTCATTCTCTGGGCTGTCTTGCCAGCCCCA